TCTCAAGGACAAAGTCTGTGCTCCTTTCAAGGCCATCGTTAGGCCACCATTCACTTCACACCGCCAACCAAGAACGTACAAAAATAAACAGGCAAAATTATTTCAGTTCTGTGTTTTCATTTTAAAAACAACAGGAGCCATATAAGGATTCCTTTCTTTTCACTCAAGCTATTTCCTGATGGGATTTAAGTCCCTGGTCCCTATAGGAGAAAACCAGGCTATATGAAAGAAACACAGTACTTGCTGAGTCGTACTGTATTCACAAGATTACAGAACATTAGATTAGTACAAACTTAGGGTCTGTCCAATCTCCTGTTCTAAAAAAAGGGTAAGTTGGACCCAAAGGCGAAACATGACCTGCCAGAGATTTGACAGTGGCCAAAGTTCACGTGAATTTGCCATAATGTCTCTAGACGGCTCTAGGAGTTAGCTTTATTTTCACTAAACAGAAAAATCTCTTGTGCCTGTTCTAGGTACACAATGGCCCCTACCCCAACCCTTAAATGAAATGGGCCCATTCACACTGGCTCAGGTACAAACATGATTACTGTATATATTTGAGCAGAAGCCGGCCCCAACTATCAGCCAAGGCACCTAATTTTACCACAAATACTGCATTAAAAATGTGCTGCAAAAACTCGGCATATATACGAGTATATGCTTCATCTTTCCTTACGTTTTTGAAATTTAGGGCCCTATTTGAAAAATACTGCATCTTCATATTTCCAGTGCTGTACTGTATTGTTCACTAGAAAGGTCAGGACCAATGCAACTTTGTAGTGATAGACTGGACCATTTTCAAAGTGCTGCTCTAGAGGAACACTGGAAAGAGAAGCTCTACTTCACTTGCACCCCAACCACAATCAATAGACCATAAAGGAAAAGAGAAAATTCGGTACCCTGACATCACTTCTAGATGAAGCTGTCCTGAGACAGTTAAGAAAGCAGGAACATTGAAGAAATTCTCCTTGGAATCTTTCATCTTGCTTGAAGGCTGTAAATAAAGAATATAAACAATAAAGAGCTATTAGCTGTTTTCATATTCACATACTCGCCACAACTAAAAATCAGAATGAAATTAAACCTATGTGAGGACAGACCATTCTTAATGGCAATAAAGGCAGTTCTCGCTTTTGTGGATGCTGATCTTGTTTGTGGTTAATTCTTTCTTAAGGCAGAGAGTATTCCTAAGTTTTGTTTGGTGGTGTCTTTACTTATTTGGGCCTAATAAAATGTTGGACTCTGGCATAGCAAAGAATCTAAAGTCAATTTTACTTCGGAATGTCTTTGATCAAACAGTTCAAGTAACTGGTTTTATTTGACCGTCCCTTCCAACATGTATCTGTAATACCTGGTGTGACAAAGCACTTGTGAGATTGAGCTGGGAGTTGGACAAGCTGCTTTACTTCTTGGAACACCAACTACACTTTAAAGAATGGCTACCAACCAGTCTACGGTCATTCGGTCTTACAAATTTAACAGGCATCACGATCACAGTGAATGAAATAAGTATATATCACAACAAGGAAAACAACTGATAACATTTTTTACTAATGAGAAAACTTAAGCTTTCAAGGCAAAATTGGAATTTCAGAAAACAAGAATTGGCCACTATGAGCCTAAGACCTTCACAATATCGAAGGCATAAAGTAATACCAATAAATCTGGTTTTATAATTTTATATAATGAAATGTGTCAATATTTGAGAAATCTGCAGAACCAAATCAGTATTTTCCCACACAACACATCTTACTACAAAAGTGTGCCAGGGTACAAGATACACTCAAAGTGTAAGCTACACCAATGGATTTCAATGCAACAGAGAACAATAGGAGACTATATTTGCTATAGTCCAAACTCAGAACAGCAGTTTATGTATGAGCAGACAGTAGAAAAATTAGTAAATTATAGGATTTCCATTCTATATTACAACTAATATTTTCTTAAAAAACATTTTGAGGGCTCTCACAGCTCATTAACAATCCAGACATCAATTATACCAAGTACATTTGTACATATGTTGCCATCATTATTTTCTAGACGTTTACTTTCTCTTGAGCCCTTGGTATCAGTTCCTCTCCATCCCACCCGTGGCCCGTTGATAAATTATAAATTATTATTATTTTCATATCTTACACCAACCGCTGTCTCCCTTCCCCCATGGTCTCTGTTGTTCATCCCCTGGGGGGTGGTTATGTGTCAATCATCACTATCAGTTCCCCTTTTCCTCCCCTCCTCTCCCAACCTTCCCCCTCCCCTCCTGGTATCACTACTCCCATTCCGGTTCCTGGATTCCATGTGTTGTGAGTTCTAGTCTCTTATCTGTACCCGTGCACATGCTTCGGTCTAGCGCGCAGTGAAAGGCCGGGCTAAGGTCATACAAGTGGGGGGTGAGAAGGCCTCAAGGAACCAGGACTATTGTGTGTTTCATTGGTGCTTTACTGCACCTTGACTGACACATCAATCCCTTCCCTGTGACCTCTCTGTGAGGGGATGTCCCGTTGTCTACAGATGGGCTTTGGGTCTCTGCTCTCGACACACTTCATTCTCAGCAATATGGTTTGTTTGTTTTGTGTCTTCAGATGCCATTGCCCAGTCCCAGCGACACCTCATGCTCGCACAGGCTGGGGTGCTTCTTTCATGTGGGCTTGTTGCTTTTCTGCTAGAAGACCACTTATTTAACTTCAAGCCTTTAAGACCCAGACCCTGTATCTTTTAATAGCCAGGCACCATCTGCTTTCTTTACCACATTTGTTTATGCACCCATTTTGTCTTCAGCGATTGTGCCTGCCTGGAGGGCGAGCATCACAGAATGCCAGGTTGCTAGAACAAAGTGTTGCTAGAACAAAGCACTGAGGAAGGACATGAGCAGAGGCCCGAAATCCATCCACAACCTCAGTGTATGCAACTAATCTTTAAGAAACCATCATTTGTTAAGTTGTGGTGTACTATCACTGAGCTTGATATGGTTCTTCTAGCCAGTCTTTGTAACTCCCCCAAAATATGCATGTGATCGTTGAACAATGAGTAGGAGGGACCAAAGAAGAATTAGTGACTTTGAATTATGATACCACCAAAGAACAATGACTATACTGTGCACTGCCAGAAGAACGAACAACTTTGTGTTATAGTAAGTACAACCAGAATGTTTCTTTGAAGTGAGGATAAGATCTCATCTCGTGTATTTTGGACATGTTACTAGGAGGGACTAGCTCCGGGAAAAGGGCATCACGCTTGACAAAGTCAAAGTGTCTGCAGCAATGGGCTCAACCGTAAAGGCAATCGTGAGGACTGTGCAAGACGGGCCAGTGCTTCCTCTTGCGGCCTTTGGCCTGTTATTGGGAGTGAACTGACGGGCCCTGACAACAGCAGCAACAACAGAGAGCAGAATGTAAGTGTGGATTAGAGAGCAGGATTTAGAAAGGTGAGTGCCTTCAACTTCGCTTCACTGTTCAACAAGCAAAGTTGCATCATCAGCATGTCACTAGTTGTTCATGAGGCGTCCTCCAATCCTGATGCCACCGTCTTCTTCCTATTGTCCAGCTTGGGCGATTATTTTTGCTTAGCATATAAATATGGAAGTAAGTAACAATGACATGCACCTTTCCTTATTTTAAATCATGCAGTATCCCTTTATTCTTTTCAAATGATTGCCTCTTGGTTTATGGACAGATTTTGTATGAGCACAATGAAGTGTTTGGGAATTCTCATTCTTCACAAAGCTATCTAGTTTGTTATGATCCACATAGTCCAATGCCTTTACATAGATAATAAGACACAAGTAAACATTTCTGATATTCTCTGCTTTCATCCAAGATCCATCTGATGTCAACAGTAATATCCTTTGTTCTACATCCTCTTCTGAATCTGGCTTGAATTTGCGGCAGCTTCCTGTCAGTGTATCACTGCAAATGTCATTGAATGATCTTCAGCAAAATTTAGCTTGCCCTCTGATGTTAATGATATTGTTTGATAATTTCCACATTCTGTTGGGACCTGTTTCTTTGGAATGGATGCAATATGAAGCTCTTCCAGTTGGGTGGCCAGGTGTCTGTTTTCCAAATTTCTTGCCATAAATGAGTGCACTGCATCAGTTTACTGGAAGATTTCCAATGGCATGCCGTCAACTCCTGCAATCTAGGCAAGTTTAACTGCAAAATGTTCTCATTAGCTTCTTGGCACAGTACATTGCTCTCTCAACCCCAAATTTCCCTATGCTTTTCATGTGGCTAACGCCTCCTCGTCCTTCAGGTTTCGGTTCAAATACCTTGTATTCACGAAGCCTTCTTTCCTACTAAGGGCCACCACCACTCCCCACTCTATGACTAAGCTAGTAAAGATTAACCTCCCATGTACTTCCATGACAATCCACACAGGCACTTCATTCATTCATCCGGACACTGTTCTAGACAGTGTAGACACAGTGAGTAAAACAGACAACAACGTAAGCTCTTAGAGAGCTTACATTCTATGTCAAAAAAGGAAACATATAAACTAATAAAGAAACAAGGTAACAATGAACTGGATGTGAGAGTGAGGGAAGAGAAGACCGTCCTCTGAAGCAGCAGCGACAGGCAAAGACCGGAAGGAGGAGAACGTATGTTCTTGAATTCTTACTCTAAGGACATAGAGCAATCACTGAACTGTTTTTGTTTATTTTCACTGAACTGTTTTATGTAGTTGTGGCATGATGTATTTTAAAGTTTATTCTAGTGCTTGAGTGGAAAATAGATAATATGGGACATGAGTCTAAGTAGGGAGACCAAATATAGAGGAGATAAGAAAAGGTAGGTGGTTTGAATTAAGACAACGAACATAGAGCAAAATGCATAGACCAAGGACTGACATGAAAGGTAAACCAACAGAACTGATTTAACAAAGTAGCTGGAGGGTTGGACAACACAGGGAAGGAAAGCATGAGTAAAGTCTGACTTCTAAGGTGTTTTATTAAACAGAGAGGTGGTTGGCAATAATTTTTCCTGGGATGAGTAAGATTGGGAAAGCAAAAAAGGAGGAGAAATCTAGAATTGTGTTTAAGACATCAATTTTGAATGCATTACAACATCATAAGAAAAATGTACAGTCAGCAGTAACCTCTTCAAACAGGGCGCTTAAGAAGAGAGACTGAAGGGGGAGACACATCAAAAGTTTGAAGTCACTGGTATGTGGATGGTTCACAAAGTCTTAAGACCTGCTAAATTAAAGAGATATTATAGATTAGAGCTACTCATTAGTGATGACAATGTTTCCTAAAAGAACTATTTTGGAATTTTGCTGGGGCGTTTAATGGACACGAGTTAAGGATGCCCCTGCATAACTAAGACTTGCCTGCATCCTCCCCACTTTCTCATGCTCTGCTACAGTCTAGCAGCTAGACAGTCATGTTACGAGCAATTAACATATACTTATCAACCAAACAATGCATATCTGTGCCAGCCAATGAAAAGTCATTGCTTTTATCTATTTTATACATTGGGTTGGCATAAGACAGCCTATGAAAAAGATCCCCCAGCCCACCTTACCACGCCAGACCTGGAGCAGTGGTTCTCTGCACTGCCAGAACCTTGCGAGACGTGCTGCGCACCAACGGAGCAGACATGGGCAGAGCCATGGTGGCCAGGCTCGGGCTGGGGCTGCTGCTCCTGGCGCTGCTCCTGGAACTAACTCTTCCCACTTTACCTCGGCTGCCACAACTCCACCTAACACCACCAGCAAGGGCAACGGAGGCTCCCTGCAGTATACCGGTAGTCTCTTCATGGTCACACTCTCCCTTCTGCATCTCTACTGTTAAAGAGACTCAGGCCAAGAAACACCTCTACTTCCCTATCTTCTATACCCAATCCACACGGTGGTCGCAAGTCCAGCGCGGCATGGAAAAATCAGATCTTCCTTGAATCTACTGTTTCCACACCTGCTTCATCGACACAGAAGATGTTGAGAATCTCAAGTTTCACTGGTTGCTGATTGGAAGAATGCCCGAAGAGTTTGAGTAGA